AATGAAAGTACCGGAAGTTATTCATTAACCGGGTGATATTTTGGCAACATGGCTGCTATCACAAGGAGTGTATACAAAAGTTAAATGCTGGTTTTTGCATGAAAATACTTTTTTAAACCAAATTCTGGGCTATTTTGAAAAGAGCAAAAGAAGAAATGGACTATTTGTATTTGTAAATAAGCAAGAATGGCTAACAAAGTAAAAAAATTAACATAATAAAGCGAAACATTTCTCGTTCGAAAATTGAAATTTCAAGTATAAATCATTAAATCTGCAACTTCAACCACGATATTCAATGTAAATATTACATAATAAAGTTTTTAATTTAATACCTTTTTTACCTTATTTGATACATTGTGTGTTCTATATTATTGCATTTTGTATTGGAATAGGATAAATTGTTAATTATACACAAATATTTAAATTTACAAATTATTCCCAGTGCACTGCCGCAGAGTTAAGAGTTTGTATTAGTGCCTATTTATTGAGTTATTAGTGCCTCTAAATCTCTAATGTACAAACATGTAATATGTTACTTAATACCATAAAGAAACTGTTGATAGCACATATATTAATCAAAATGAACTAAATTTTCGACCATTATATAGCATATTTCCCCCAATATTGAGAGAATAATTTCTATTTATTTTTATAATAAGCCAATATTGCCCAACTGCGAAGTAAATATTGTCCGACTGGCCTAGTCTGCCCAACAATCGGGCCCTGTACGCCTATGGCCAGGCCTACAGGTGGACCCCCAACCTGATCGGTCACAATTTTACTTTCTCCAAAATTTCCCCTCCCTGTGTACAAGGATTGACAATTTGACAGTTTGATTAGATTTGAAAAAAACACACTGTTATATTGGGTCATTCCAGAAAACACCCATATCACCACCCCCTTGGAGAAAATTGGAAGTTAATCCCTCCTACCCTTTTGGATGTCCTAATACATTTACTATTATCAGAAACAATTTTCCCCCCTCCGAACGGCAGAAATTTCCTCTGTGGGGGGAGTGTGGTCTTTTCTGGAACGACCCATTTGAGAAATGCTTTTGCACAAATTTTAAATTTTCTTACAAACACAACTCATCACTGTATGTCAGAACACTGTTCTAAGTTGCAACTAAAATCCAGAGGTCTAAAAGGCTCAAGTCAATTCCAGTGGTGTAACCAGAGGGGCGGGGGGGGGGTCAAATTATTTTAAATGTCCCGGACTTGTTTGTAATTAAGTAGAGTTGAACATGTGTTAACTGCATGGTTATTTCAAATCACCAAAACACTTTAAAATAGCGCCCCAAAATGGCACTTTATTAACTAGAATTTAAAAAGTGTACATTGTACTATATTATACATGGATAGCTTGGGAGTCCAAATATATTTTTACATAATAACAAACTTTATTCAAACTAGTGCAGGCCCCTCCTGGGGATTTCAGTCCACCTTGAAGGCGTTAATTAGAAATCATGGCTAATCACTGCTCAATTCCATTGCCAATGATGGTGTTACCATGATTAGACAGAATAGGTTAACAAACTAGTGTGTATTATGAGATAATCCATTGAACACTAGCCTGCGTGCAGTCCCAAACTCCTACTTCCTTTGGAGTCTGGGACTGCATGCAGGCTAATTGAACACCAGTGATCTATCCCAACATATAAAATCATCTGGTGTTAGACAGTCAGAGTAAAATAAAAAGTAAGACACGATGTATAACTTTAGTTAAGCACCATTGGTTCTTATAACACTGTTCATTCCAATACTAGAACATAAATTGTCATTAATTAAAATGTATTTCAGTTGGCAATTAACAAAAGTCGGAGTTTCATCCGATGACATGTATGCTTCTAACCATGCTGTCCATGCAGCTATCTGACAGTTTTTAATTTTCAACCTTCCCAAAGCCATTATTCTCAAGATTTGCCAAAAAGGTTTTCCAAATAAGTACAGAATTATATTACATCACTCATCACTGTTCATTTTACATTCTTCAAGTAGATGCATGTTTACAACTTTACAGTACAGTATATCTTGTGTATTTTATATAATTAAATCTTGCAATATCTTGTTCAAAACCCTCAAATCCAAGATAATCGGCGGCCAGCCATGTTACCAGTAAGATTTCTAGTTTGTTGACTTTGAAATGACCAAGGTTGTACTCGAGTATAAATATTTATACTTTAATTATTGAATAGCCCCTGTATATCGCTGACAAGGTGATATAAGATGTTCTTTTGCTCGTCAAAGGGCTTATTTTACGCATAATTGTATCTCTAAATTGATCATTCCTGACTTTAAATTCCAAAAGCCATGCGAGAAGCAGTTTAAGATGTCTTTACAAGTCCAAATTTATTATAAATTGCAACAAATAATGCATTCTCACTCCTTGCATAAAAATATGCCAAGTCAGCGTTTTTAGCTGAAGCTACTGTTTACTTCCGCTTCCGGGGGCACCAATGTTCTTTGGTGTTCCGGTTTGGATTATCCCAGGGCTTCTGAGAGCAATAAGCGCAGAAGCCCTGGGTACGAGGTTGAGTAGTTGGCTATATAAATGCTGAAATAAAGCAGTCGGCTAGGAAAGGCTTTTACAGAACAGTAAAGGAATGGTTTGGGAAATTTCATGTAAAAATTCTAATTGAATACCTGAGGATGATAGGACCGAAGAAATTTACCTTGCCATTTTGTCCTGGCTGCAGGGGACTTTACTGAATTTCACACACCAAATTTAAGTGAATGCCCCTGGTATGCCCGAGGTGGGGGTCTCGAATTCTTGTGTCATATTGGATGAGATCATGTATTTACACTGTTCCTGTCAACAGTCTTATTCTGTTGACTTATTGCAAATCTTGTAAGAATTGAAATTATAAAATAAACCATTATTATGGACAAAACTGAAAATGTGTATATGTATATGCAGGCTTCTAGCCAGGAGACACCCTACCATGTCTGTATAAAAATTGATTTTAAACCATTACAAAAATGACATAAAAGTTGCTTTGTATTCTGAAATTCTGGTTTAGGCCTCCTGCTTTAGATACAGTCTATTGAACTGGAAAACTTTTCATATTTTTAATGTGGAAATGTGTAGTAATCTATTGATAAATCAGAATGTTAACCCCACTTCCCTTACCATCACTCAGGTATACATCCTGTTGTGGTGGAGATTTAGATTGGACACCTGGATAGATACTAGAAAACACTTAGTCACACTTCTGGATAATGAGGGGGCAATGAACTCCCCGATGTGAAATTGTAAGAAATTTAAAAATTGACCAGTGATAACTTGACATTATGTATGGGAGTCAAATTTGCTAACATTACCCTCCAATCATTGGCTATCCCATTCGGCCTCAAATGATTTGGCCCCTATCTGAAACAGAAGGTGCACTTGCATGTAGATTAAAATATATTGGAATGCAGAAAATATTGTTATACTTTAATCTGAAAACAAAAATTTCCCTGAAACAATTAACATACATTGAGTCATACGTACAGTCATGTACAAGTTTTTGACTGTCAGATGTATCATAAAGCAGCATAGTGAGTTGCATTCATGGCCAAAGACATATTAGGTTAATTATTTTACATAATTATTTTTCTTCATTTGCCACGGCATGTAATCGGTGAAGGATTCAGGATTATCCTGCATGGAAATAACGTTTTAAACGTGCTATACACAGTAAAACGGTGTTCAATATTCATACTACATGATGGGCATATGGCCAAACAAACACCTTGTGCTTTTCTGCTCAAATTTACGCACGCATGATTTTGTATACATAATATAGATTTAATTCTACCAATTCAAATCCAAAACTCATGGCGTCATACATGACATCTATCTATAATTTATATTTTCTTGAAATGTTAGGTGATTCATTGTTATTGTCGTTGTTGTAACCCAGTAATTAGTAAACAGACTCACATGTCGCATGTCGTTCTTGTTCTTTTAATATACAACATACGATGGACGATAAAGCTTCGAATTACTTCTCTTTAATTTCCAGTCCGGCTTTGTCCAGTCTTTGAAGTGACTTTACAAGCGCGTGTTGAAACAGGTCATCTGTACAAGAACCCATGATGTTTCGAATCACAGCGGCCACTTCGAGCACATTTCGACTCGATCATGTTTATTTACATCATACATGAAAATTGATACATGTAATACGAAACCGAAATATGGTTGCATTTTGACGAATATTAACGATATAACGAAATATAAAACCCCAATATGTATAATTCCATTAGGTGGTCTGCACATATTCCCTTGATGGTGGAAAATACATCGAAACAAAAGAAAGATCCAATATTTTCTGCTCACCAACACGTCTCCACTCCTCAGTAAAAATTAGTGCATAGTCAGCATTTTTAGCTTGCAGCAGAACGCGTTTACTTCCGGAAAACACCAGAATTTGTGGTGTTCCGGTTTGGCTTGTCCCAGGGCTTACGGCAACGCAGGCAGCCGATAAGCCCTGGGAACGAGGATGGCATTGGACAATACAGTACGTATGCAGCGTCATACAGTCTGGCTTCCAATAGCCGAGTGTGGCGAGGTATACGACACGAGTAGATGCTGGTCCTTGCGAAGACGAGCTAATACGAGCTCGGTTAACGTACTATTTCAGACTCTCAATAACAGAAATCTTTTGGTTTTCTGGTAAGGATGGAAGATAAATCTTTCTTGCTGGGTGATTCGGCCGAGAATTCTTTACATGTTTAGGTATTACAAACTCCCAACCGTTCTCTTTTTGGGATACATAATCAAAGTGCAATGCTGCGAGTTCGTGAGCCCTGGCTGAATACGTAAGCGCCAACAGGATAGTCGTTTTAAGAGTCAACTCTTTAAGTGAGAGGTTCACGCTTGATTCCATATTCTTTAAATGCTCTATAATAATGTCCCAGCTGACCAGGTTACGCATATCTTGGGTGGTGGTGGACGAAGTTCAAAGATACCTTTCATAAAACGGGATAAGAGCGGAAGAGCTCCAAGTGATTGTCCATCTACTGGATCATGTAGCTGAGACTATGCATGATTTGTAAACACCAACAGTTCGGTATGAAAAGCTTTCGAATATGAAACTGTTCAGCCAAAAACTGTAAAAACGCTGCTACAGTGGCTGAAAATGGACATTGATTCCGTGAGACACACCAGCTAGTCCAAAGTCTCCAAGGTCCTTCATATCTCTTTTTCGTTCCTTCTCTCCAGGAGGCCATAAGGATGTCACAAACTTGCGGTGGACGACCTCCTGCTTGACAGCGTTCCCTGAAAGTGGTCATACCGCCAGCTTCATTGTTCTCCACGGAGGGTGTTGCGCTTCCCGGTCGAAAGGTAGATACAGACTCGTTTCCGTCATTTGAAGAAGGTACAGGATGTTGACCAACATCTCCAATAGTAGCGGACACCATGTCTGGCCCAGCCAGTTCGGGGCAATGAGTAGACAGGTTGCCTGATCTTCTCGTATCTTCTTCAGAATGCGAGGAAGCGTTATAATTGGCGCATGAATGAATGGTGTCCATCTGCTCCAATGCAATGACATTGCATCGACCTCAATTGCACCCAGGTCTGGGTGCCGAGAAACATAGAGGTGTAGTTGATGATTGAGACGAGATGCAAACAAGTCGACTTCTGAAGTGTAATACTTTGTGACTATACGTGTGAAGATCGCCTTGTCCAGACTTGAAGTGACGAGAAGCCAGTCCGCATCGACGTTCTGTACTCCAGAAAGGTGTTGTGCTGTTATCCACATTCCTTTCTGTTGACAAACGTTCCCAAATTCGACTGCCAATGTTGTTAAAGTCGAAGACCTGGTTTTCCCTCTCTTGTTAACATATGCAACTGCTGTAGAGTTGTCCATCTGGGGCCGGTTGTATCAAGCCCGTTTAGCTTAAACGGTGGATAAGACAAAATTAAATAACACTCTTATATTTTTTATGAATCAGTCAACTTAAATATTCTGCACTGAATATATAGTTGTAAACATTATCGTTCTATTAAGGTTCGAAACTTTTAGTTTGGTTGTTTAATGAATCTATAGACTTGCTTTCTATTTTGAGCTTAACCACTGTTTAAGCTAAACGGGCTTGATACAACCGGCCCCTGCAGACCAGTATGTTGTGGCATTATATCTATGTCGTCAGAAAGGACTGGATGGCCAGAAGAGCTGCTTTCGTTTCGAGAATGGTGATGTGTTGTCTGGATTCTTGAATGTTCCATCGCACCCCTGTCATGATTCCGTTGCACTGTGCTCCCCATCCTTGATTGTACGCGTCAGTGTAAATAACCAGGTCGAACGCTGGTAGTGAGATTAAACACTTGTTGAACTGATGTATCTGCGTCGAAATCCACTATTGGAGGTCGGTTATTGATTCTCTGTCAGATAGGCCTTTGTCTTGTTCGAGAGACGTTTGCTCTGGTGAATGCTGTTGACATGTTGCCTCTGCAGTGCACGATAATGCAAAGGTCCCTGGGTTAGACTCACTTGGGAGCCATGGTTCATTCTGCCTAATAAAACCGAGAGTTCTTTCAGCGTCAGCCAGCGATTCTGGATTGCATTCTTGCACTCTATTTGGAGCTTTTCGAGTTTGTCGTTGGGTGCAGCTGGTGTCATCTCCTTCGAGTTGATCAAGGATCCCAGGAACTCTAAACACTGGGATGGGGCTTGGGAACATTTCTCCTGTTTGATGAGAAATCCCAGACGTTTTAGTAGATTGACAACACTCCGAAAAATTGACGACAGTCTTTCTGGGCTTTGGTCCAGAATAAGCATATCGTCCAGATATATCACAATCCGTATTCCTTGTATTCGAGCAATACTATTATCGGTATCAATAGTTTTGTAAATGTCCTGGGCGCACTGGATAGCACGTATGATAGGCATTGGAACTCGTATGTCATTCCTTGGAATATAAACCTCAGATATTTCTTGTTACTGTTGTGAATCGGTCGGAAAAATAGGCGTCTTGGAGATCTAACTTCATCAAAAAGTCTCCTGGTTGGATCAGATTGCGTACTGCTTCCAGACCTTCCATCTTGAACTTCTGAGGTTGGACAAAGCGATTGAGATTCTTTAAATTGAAAATTGGCCTGTCCTAGGACACTTATTTCACTATGAACAGTGTTGAAGTGAATTGATTTGTCTCCTCCTGCACAGCTTTTAATGCACCTTGCACTTGGAGTTGTAATATAGCTTCTTTTATAGAAGACAAGTCCTCTTTCGAGTTTGCTTTCGTTTGTCTCTGTCTCCACTGTATGGGTTGACGAACAAAGGGAATTTTGTACCTTTGAACTATGGATAGAATCCAGGGATTTGATGTAATTAGTGTCCAGTTTCAATAAAATTGTTTGATGCGGCCAATTACAAGATTGTCTGTTGGTTTGATGTATTTTAGTGTTGGTAGCTGATAGTCAGCTGCGTTTTGCGTATTTTCCCGTTTTGCCCAATACAACCTCGTTCCCACGTTTGTTGTTGTTTGTATTCTTTCTGAATGAGTTGTTATGTTGCGGTCGGGTAAAACTAGATCGCTGGAAGGATTGGTCACGAAAGGACTTGTTGGTGTGAAAACGCCCTCTGGAGAAGAAAAACCTTTGAGGTTTGGTTGATTGTGCCACTAATTTGCGATTGGTGTTTGCATGATCATGTTCCTCTCTAATAACATTATGAAATTGCTCGGGAAACAGGTACTTGTCAGCTGGAATTTGGTCTTTCAGGGTACGCTTACCCATATTCTGCAAAATGTTTTTGGCGCCAAATGTTTAGACTACAATGTGCATTTCCCAGTAGCACAATGGCATCTTCGATAAGAGTTTTTATGTGGTCAGAATCAGGACCTGAGGGCTAATCCCCGTCTACGTCCACTTCTGTCGGCTCCAATTGCTTGTAAAGCACTGACAAGTGGTCGAAAAACGGAAATAAAGAGTACTTGTTTGTCAGCTAGTCCTTCATCAAATGTGAAAAAATCTTTTGTTCGGGCCCACGTTTGATGTCCTCTTTCATCCCTGTTTGCATTATGGATGAAACTAGGAAATCAGCTGTTCCTTTAATGTCAGGGTATTGTTCCACGACATTTGTCCAAACTTCTTTGGACAGTTGCTTGGTAAATGCAGATTTCAGAAATGGTAGCTTCTGGTGTTGGTGCTAATACTTGTCGGAACGACTAGAACCGACAAAAGCTGGTGGAGTGTCACTATCAACTACTTTGGCTCTTTTAGGTTGTGGTTGTTCCACTGCTCTGGTGTCATAAAAGCATTTCTTATGATGTCTGGTAGAGTCCTTTTTAATGTCTCAGTGACTTTGTCCTCGATCAGAGAACTTAGTTGATCTCTTGACACTGGAATAGGTATCGCTGATGCATCATCAGAGCTGGTACCCTCAAAGAGCATATTGTCTGGTTCCTGCGAGATGAGTACCTGCAGGAAACCAAGTCATTTTTAAAACATTGTGTGGATATTAGATCAAATATTTCTGTAAAATATAACTATAAACTGTTTAATTTTCCATACGTATTCGTCGTATGGGTACTCTGGACGAATATTGCATTTATCTGCCTGCGAGATGGGTACCTACAGGAGATACACTCAAAAAATAAAGCCCAGACTTGACGAAAGTAATCAAAATATTCGATCAGGGCGACGTATAACCACAGTAAATGTAAACGTATTAAACAAAATGCAAAGTTTTACCTTAATATTATTCGATATAAAACTCTTTTAAATATAAATACAGCTTGCGATATTCAGCACTTACCTTTTCAAAGGTAATTCTTGCATAAAATAGAGAATTTTGTTCCGGATGGATGAATTTTTTGAAAGATTTTGAAGCGAATTTAGTGAGTTGAACAAACCGAAGCTTGCACACGAAAGAAGAGGATGTCACTAGTCATGCGTATGAATTAATTAAAATCGTGGGTTCCAAGCCGTCGCGCGCCGCGAACTGCACCAGTATTGTGAGTATCAGTCGGAGAAGGAGTGAAGGAGAATCTTGTTATTATTGTGTGAAATTGACATTTCTCCTAGAGGATTCGGCATGATGGAATACTAAAATAAACTCTACTGCGGATGTGTACTGACGCTGAAAATCTTGATGAGAAAATCGAAAACTAGACAGACTTTTGAGTAATATATGAGAATTCGAAACTGGTAATAAATTAGAACAATTTAGTAAAATAATAAACCAAAAAGCCCGATAGCGCCTTCCCCCTTGAAGTGATTTTAAACCCTTAACAACGGTTGAAAAAATACTATCCGAAGGATAGCGCTATCTTGCCTTCGTACAACTGGCTCCAGATTTGTAATTGGAAGTTCAAATAATATGGTTACGTAAGAAATAGGAAGTGGTTATAACAGAACCGCGCAGATCATAATGGTACTTCTTTGAAATTAATCGTAATTCGATAACATGTAGTTTTCGATGTTATTTTTCTATTAAATCTTCAGATATCTCAAATGCATATTTCAGACAAGCCGACATGCATTTGGTTTATTGAATCTTCAGATATTTTTGTATTACTCAAGTGACTTCAATTTTTTTCAGTTGTTGCGTTGCAACTGCAACCTCGCTCCCGGGCTCTTCCCTCTTTTGGACGAAAGACCCTGGTCGGGGCTGGTCACGTGTCACGCAGATTCTGCGTGGAAAATTAAAATTGATCTCAGGGAGGGGTGGTAGAAGAGTCTGTTTGTTGCGTTTGGAAAATTGCAATTTTATGTGTTATAGTTTCGGGTGATAAAAATGTAATTTGCAACAAAAAATCGTGAACGGAACTGTTCTAAATTCTTACTCATCATGACACGACTTCCTGCTATACTGAATGTCATCAATAATAAGTGTTGCGGTACATTTCAAGCGAGAAGCTGGATCACATTTCACTTCCAAGGAAAGGACTCCACACGCGCCTGCCTTGCGAAGTTTAGCACGTATCGCCGTAGAAACATCAATATCTTCTACACTGACTGTTCGATCAAACAGTGGCATTAAACGAAATGGTTGTTTATGGTTGAAGTGTATCCTGTCCGATATTCAAAACAAAGGATTTATTTTATAACGATATCCTTTGATTTCCTAAACATCGACGGGGGGTGGACTGCAATCATACAAAATGCAATCTGAACAACATTTTCACGAAGGCAAAGGGCACTTTACCACTGGAGAGTGGGCATTTTTTGTGTTTTCTGAACGAAAAATAATTGCAATCATAAAAAAATGCAATCTGAACAACATTTTTCACGAAGGCAAAGGGCACTTTGCCACTGGAGAAAGGGCACTTTTTGTGTTTTCTGAAAACTTGGGAGGACCTTGGCCCCTATATATATATATATATATATATATATATATATATATATATATATATATATATATATATATATATATATATATATATATATATATATATATATATATATATATACACTGGATCCAGAAAAGTTTGACCTTCGAATATATATATATGTCGGCCATTTTGAATTTTCTTGGGTTAATTATACGCGAACGCATATATCAAATGTCGCTCGCAACGTACTGTATATTGCAATATTCCAACAGCTCAAATAAGTAAAGGATCATTGCTTGAAGTTCTTACACATATTTGTAGTAGCTATCTAATGAACATTTGAGGGTTGTTAGCTAATTAACTCTTGTCACAATTTGGAACCTGATCTTTTTGGCATGTCGTAATTTATTCTTTTGCATCCTTAGAGATTTAGACGCTTATTAGCATGCCACGATGAATTTCTTTGTTTATTCTTTCGTATTCACTTGTGCTGATTTTATAGCTGTAACCTATACGTCCAGAATTATTATATTAAAGAGTTTGGCAACCTAGAACGGCAACGACAACTGCAACGGGGAAAATATAATTGCTTATATTGTTGTATTTGAGCCAAAGTATACGTTACTACACTTAATTTGCCTCATTAAGTATTCCTGTTTCTTTCAAACGTACTTAAATAAAAATAGTCCGCGAATTCAATAAAACTCTCAAATAACATCGAACGAATGAATTGTTGCCGTAGTCATGCACCGTGAATCAACAACTACGGCATTGCACAACGCTTAATACCATGTAATTTATACATTCGCCTTTGTCTTTGAGGATTAATGCTATTGTTAATGACCATATTGCCGTTGCGGTTGCCCTTGTATTTGCCGAACTCTCTATTATATTTTGCCAACGGAAATTTTAACGGAATCGATAGTCATTCGATATTTCATCCCCTGAAACTCAGCACACGCAGCATTCGTGACCTGGCGAAGCATGCAGAAACGTTCATTTCCTACTAGCCATTATGTTCATTTCCAAATGTTCATTTCCTACTAGCATTATGATTATGTGCAAAGACATCAATCAATGATTCTTTTATTCATTTGAGCTGTTGGAATAATATTGCAATATACAATACGTTGCGAGCGACATTTGATGTATGCGTTCGCGTATAATTAACCCAAGAAAATTCAAAATGGCCGACATATATATATATTCGAAGGTCAAACTTTTCTGGATCCAGTGTATATATATAGGGCCTATATATATATATATATATATATATATATATATATATATATATAGGGCCTATATATATATATAGGGCCTATATATATATATATATATATATATATATATATATATATATATATATATATATATATATATATATATATATATATATATATATATATATAGATAGATAGATAGATAGATAGATAGATAGATATGTACAATAATATATATGCATATATATATATATATATATATATATATATATATATATATATATATATATATATATATATATATATATATATATATATATATATATATATATATATATATATATATATATATATATATATATATATATATA